ACCATTCCCCAAAGAATTCCGTAAAAAGGAACTCGTAAAACAAATAGCCCGAGTGAACTGGAATATCTCAGAGGTCGACTCGTCTGTTAAGGTATGAAATGCAATCAATACCTATTTTCAAATGAAATGTAAAAATCATTATTCTTGAATAATTTCAATAGCAGAACGATGAAGACTTGGTAATTTTTCTGTGCTGAATGTATGACAAAATTGATGAAATCATTCATGAATAAATCAATCCTACCATTAACTGAATTAACAAAAACGATCCAAAGTAATTCAAGAAGTGCGAATGCTCATTTTCTCATCAAGAAATAAGCTTGAAATTCATTTCATCATGTCCTCATCATTTTTTTATAACCGATAATAATTTACGAAGAATATCGATGAAAATCCCGTTTCCATCAATAATGCAAGGAATAGCTAATGAATTCATCGGATCACATCACATTTCCAATAAAATTGGAAGAATTGAGTGAGAATCGAAAAACATGACACCCAAATGAGTGAATTAAAAATTCGCACAATTCGCTCGCAATTGCCTTTCCTTCATTCATTAGAATTAGATTTTGTTATAGAATTTATTCTATTGAGACATTTTCCATTGAATTCCCTCGGTTCAAATTTTCCAAGTTTTTTTGCTTGATTTTCTTAATGAAAACAACAGAAAAATAGAATGAATAAAAAATAATAATGAAAAAAATTCACCTGTATTGAAAAATCTTTGAAAAATTACAAATGAGTGAATTAGAAAACATTTTAAATTGAATTTCTTCGACTCAAATTTCCAAGTTTTTTTATTTTCTTAATGAAAAAAACAGAAAAATAGACTGAAAAAAATGATAATAAAAAAATTGACCTATATTGAAAATTTTTTGAAATGTTTCAAACTTCAAAAATTCATGTTCAAAATACTCCGAAACCGCTGAGACGATTTTGCTGGAATTTCATTCTAGTTTCAATCTAACAAAGTGGTATCAATTATAATGCCAACAAATCAATCTCATCGTTTCTAGGGAGAAATATGAAATGGGAGTTTTTAGGAATCACGAAACGTGGAGAAATCATGAAATTTCCACAGTCGATTTTCGGTTTCATTCCAATAACTTCTTTAAAAAAAATACAATAACTTCCTCCCTTCGGGTCGGGAAGTTAATAAAACATCAAATTAATCCCCAGAAAAAGAAATAACTTCAGCATTTCTGAGTGACACATAATAATCACGAACCCTTACTAATTACAAAACGCAAGATGACACGAAACTACACATTTACTCCATGAATACAAAATGCTCGGGGGTGCTATTAATCTCCGAGACTTCAATATTTTGCTCATAACTTTAATATCAAGGCTGAGTATACAAGTCTCTCAGATGACGATGAGAAGATTATACAGACGGGGATGATTGAGAAACTTGAAAGATGAGAGTAATTGTGATTAGATAGAAGATGCCTAGAAAGCCGTAAGCCACCAGAGGTGAAATCCACAAATCTCCCAAGAGAGTTGGAGTAATATTCTGCCTCCCAGTGAATTCAAGAAATATCCAGTCTTTGCAAATCCATTGTGCCACTCGTGCCCCATTTCCCGCAGACGGTCATCAAATTTTTAATCCAAATTATTACCAACAATAATATTTTACAACGAAACGTATAGATTTTAAAACAAGTGTGCCAAAGGGCGATTTGATAGCTTGAAACCCCGCAAAAATATTGCGGCCAATTTATAAAAAAAATTTTTTTTGCAAAAACTAGTGATTAAAAAAAAATCATAACTCCCTCAATTATCCATGTTTCAAAATTTTTGTCTAATCGCCATCTTCTTAGAAAAAAATTGAGACAAATTCCCCAGCACGACTTTTTTGGCCTGCTGATTGGGAATGGATCTGCTCACATTCAGAAGAAATTAAAAAAAACATATTTATCGAGTGAAGAAAATAAAAATTCAGAATAAATCCAATAATGCACAGATTAAATATTGAGGAATGTCGTCAAGACATCGTATATATTTTAAAACAAGCGTGCCAAAAGGCGATTTGATACCTTGAAGCCCCGCGAAAATATTGAGGCCAATTTAGAAAACAAAATTTTTTTGGGTAAAAACTAGCAATTTTCAAAAAATCATGACCCCCTCAATTATCCATATTTCTTAAACTTTTTTGCCTAATCATTTCCTTAGAAAAAAATTGCGACAAATTCCTCAGCACGACTCTTTTGGCCTGGTGATTAGGCATGAATCTGCTCACATTGAGACAGAAATAAAAAGAACAAAACATATTTATCGAGTGAATAAAATAAAAATTCTGAATAAATCCAATAATACACAGATTAAATATTGAGGAATGTCGTCAAGACATTCCTCAATACTAGATAAGTAAAAATACTGTCACTCTTTCTCCCATGGAGCACATAAAACACTGGTAATGTCGACCAGCATTGCCTCGTAAAATAAGAATCCCCTTATCAGTCCACACTATCATAACTACCCAGCCGGCACACACACAGCATTTGTTCACTCACATTATTGTCAAAGTTTCGCATTAATTTGACTTTGAAATGAGTGAATTGCAAGTGTAAAAGGGAGCAGCAGTGTGGCCAAATGGAGATACGGTAATGCACATAAGATGGAATAATTATATCTCAAGTACTACCGCATTATTCCGCCTCTAGGAGCATTAAGCCAATTAATTAAACTCCTTGATTGTGATGTTTACGAGGAAAACTGATTTTGGGAGCATTGAGAATTAAATTATGTGGAAAGTGCAGGTCCACTTGAGACAATTAGGAACTCCTTAGAGGCAATTAAGAAAATATTGTTTTTAATCCGGAGATTAAGTATCAAAAGTGACTGCTGGAATTGGTAGAATGAGATTATTTACTGGAGAGAGAAAGAGAGAGAGAGAGAGAGAGAGAGAGAGAGAGAGAGAGAGAGAGAGAGAGGTGCGAGCTGCATCGTCATGAATTTTTATGAGTGACTTTTTTTATCGTCGGGTATAATCGTTGGGGAAATATTGGATGCGAAAATACCGTTCGTTTTATTTACAATTGTTATTACGACAGAGATTGATACATATTAATGACGACTGTTTTAATTATTTAGTTGAGTCATTAATCTGTGAGAATCCAATTGTGAAGATGTTAAGGAATAGCCCAAGACAATAACACATTACAGCTAGGCCCTATGGATTTCCGGAAAAATTCAAAACTACTTAATTTATTGCATTCGCATAAGTTATTGATTGAGTTTTTCTATCCTCATGTGTTGTTGATGAAGGCAACAATGACTGTTTGAATCAAATACGAAATGATGTCCAGAAATTTTAATTTTTTAAAGTTGAATATCACAGAAAGTATGAATTATAAATGTTTTTTTATTAAAAAAAAGAAAAAACAAACATGAACTTTTGTACTCGAACATCAGAGCTTTTATTTGAGCCCCATTTGACCCTAAGTTTCCGGACGTTTTGCAACGTTTTATTATTTAAACTTTGCAGGTCTAAATTTGAATGGATATTGAACAGAAAACATTTTAAAAATCTGGAAAAAATTAAAAAGTTTACTTTTGGAGGAAGATTGATGAAATAATTTAAAAATTCCAATTTTTTTAAATTACCAGTATTTTCTATAAATAATTTGTAAAGAGCAAATGTTTAAAAAAATAATAATTCTGTATAATAAAATGTAACTTGAATGATACTAATTAAGTATAATTTTTTTGAATAAACGAATCATAATTGTCCAAATCACTTAAGTCAAAGGAAAATCGAATAATCCCACTTTCTTAATATTGCATTAACTAAGGTTTTCTTCGAACAATATTGATTAGAATTAATAGCTAAAATTATGAGATTATCTCACATTTTTTACGTTAATGATAGGAGAATCTGAATGCAATATAGTGACAATGATGATCGATGTTTTCACTTTGAACAAATAATATTAATATCCAAATACAAAATTTCTTTTATGAATAAAAAGAAGCTGTAACTCAATATTCCAAATGAAGTTTAAATATTTAATTTGGTTGAAAACACGAGATGACAATATTCTAAGCACAGAATTATATTGATGAGATGAACAACAGATTAATTGAATTACCGCGTGAACTAACTAAAAATTGATAACAGTCTGGGCACGCACTTTTGCCAGAGTATCAACAACCATTGAGTTTCAGAAATTCACACTCTAAAGTCTGTTCTAGAAGGAATAGAATTGTAATTATGATTAAAATCCTATTCCGCGAGCATAGGAATTAGAACATGAGCAAATCATTCATTGTAATACGCAAATTTATCAGCTGATAAATTGGGAGATACGATTCTCACCGGTCGTACTGCTTTTTCCAATGACAATGATTACAAACAATTAATTGAAATAGTATATTTCGTTACGAGTGCGGAAAAGTGTTTTTTGGCTCGTGGAATTATATCACTCGCCTTCGGCTCGTGCTATAAACCTCCCACGAGCCAAAAAACACTTTTCCCACGAGTATCGAACAATATTTTTCATCACAATGTGTGGAAAAGGGACGTTTTAGGCACGCGAAGGGTGCCTAAAAAGTTACTTTTTCGCACGGCGTGATGAAAAAAGTAATATAGAATTTAACATGATAAAGGGCATCCACCCCTCGAGCTTGTTTTAAAAAATATCGATTGATAATGCAGACCTCAACAATCTTTCTAAAAATCCCACTCAACAGCGCTAGCGACAAAGGAACTCACCGGTAGCGACTCCCAAGCAGCGAAACAGGTTATCCCCCTTCGCGTCATGTTTACTGCCAGCCGCGACCGTAAGTGCACACCTCCAACGACCCAAAAAAAGCACAAAACCCCTCACATAATCATATTTCCCCAACACTCACTGACTCCACCGACACTTCACTTTTTACCGAAGCACTCGCGACCGCACGCACGATTCACTCTCCCTCCGTCGTCCATCTTTGTCCCGCAAGATGGCGGCACTCGTTTGAAATGCCCCCGCACTTGTATTCAGTCACACCCGGTCCACAATTCGGAGCAGAACCTCCAAAATGCTGCAAAACAAGTTTGTCAGCTGTCAAAAACTTTGGAAATGTTCTTAATAATTGATTCGCTCAAAGTGCAGTCGCTAATTGACAGAAATAATACTCCAACAGTTGAGAAAAGCATTAATGACACTAGTGAATCAATAATCAGACTGACGTGAAGAATATTCAGTGTGTGCTCTGTGTTATCGATCACTCTGCTGATGTTTAAATAAATAAAATTATCGCTTAGGCGAATAAAACACAGCAATTACTTTAACCTCAACGTAAAAATCCCAGTCGCACCATGCAAGGATTATTCGCACGACGAAAATGGAGTTGAGAGTATCAAAAATTAGTTGATGAAGCATAAAATTTGGAAAAAAATCGTTCAGTGAAGGAGTTAAAAATTATGAGCGCCATTCTGATCGAATCTAAAATTAATGAAGTTCAAAATCCTTCGACAAATAATGAATGATCAAGGACACAATATTATTATAATTAAATATCACAATTAAATACATTAAAACTCCTCATAATCCCTGAGAAAGCCAAGACTAATTAAACTCGAGTTGAATTAACTGAAGAAAAATGGGTTCAGAGCAGAGTTCGCAAGGCTCCACGAGTCAGGCCCAGTCCCGAGGGCCACTTCGTCGAGGAAAAAGCGTTCCCAACCGAGAGCGCCTTCCAGACGACACTCCCCCTAGATCCACAAGTCCAGGTCCCAGCATCTGTTCAGACTCAGACCTGCCCTACATATCGTACACCGTGAATCAGCCCATCGGGGACTCCCCAAAGATGTCCAACAAGCATTTGTCGAGAGGCAAGAGTTTCGGCTCCGACGTGACTCGACGGAAATCCAGTCTAGGATCGAGGAAGATAACGTCCTCAAAGGCTCACAACATCGTGGTGGTGAAGCCAGCAATGTCTGACCCAGCAGCCGACCGAGATCCCGACCTAGTCAAGCTCCAGAGCATCCCCATGTTCCTCCCGATCATGAGGGGAACCCTGAACCTTCCCCCGGGCGTGAGGGACCCTGAGATCCTCGAGAGGCTGGACCCCCTGGGGCTGTTCAATCTCTGCGCGAGGTACCAGCATCATCTGAATGCAAATGCTCAGATGATCGCTGGGGAGCAGCAGGCCTTGTGTGCCAATATCGATGCTGAGGTGAACAGGATCATGGCGCAGGCGGTGGAGAGGCAGAAGAAGTTCGCTAAATTCGCTGAGCACATGAACAAGGTTCACGAACTCAGCAGACACCTGACCAAGTGCCACATGCAGTTGAATCAGACTTTAGAGAGTCTCGAGACTCTGAATAATCTGCTGCCTATCAAGGATCGACTGGAGCCTTTTGTCTGGACCACTGGATAATTTGGATTTTTTTAAGGATTCTTGGGGTGGGGGAAGTCTCAGAATGATACCGTTCTATTTTATTGTGGTTGTGGGGTGATTCATGTAGCTAATTTGATTGTAAATAAATTAGAAGAATTATTTGTTTGAATTTTGTCATTTGATTTTTTTATGATTGCCTGAGCTTCAACATTTCAACTGAATTTTAGTAATAATTCAATAATTTAATGATAAGACGAGAGTCAGAGGGCAATTTCGATTTTTTTGGGGATCCTTCAGCTTCTCGAAAGTCTCGTCATGGTACTGTGGTGTTATACGGACTTTGTAGTGTGAATTTTTGTAGTTTAACTGAATGTGAATAAATGAAATGTATTTTGGATTTTAGAAGTTTGGGGTTTCTTTGTGATTACCTGATTGCTGGCTGGGAGATTGGAGCTGAGGGGAATGAGGTGGGCTGAGTTGAGTGATTCACTGCAAAAATGCTCTTCTTTTAGTCTAAATCGTGATTTAATGATTTTTTAGCTTTCATTAGTCTATAGGCATTGACGATTTCGCTCTGCTGCTTCTCCAGGATTCTTCTTTCTGCTGATGGGAGATTTTTTCGTTTTCCAGTCCTGTCCATAGGAGTCGTCGTCTTCGAAGCTGGAGATTTATTCAGGAGAGAGTTCAGAAGTAAATCAGGCTTTCCAGACTGAAATTCATTGAAAACAGTATTTTAATTAATTCTCAATTTCAAAGGAAAAATTGAAGACAGTTTTTTATAAATTTGTTTGTCTAAAAAATTATTTCTCGACATGAGTAAAGTAATCATAAACACAATTTCTACATTTTCGTGAGATAATTATTACCTAAATATTAAAAACTGGATGTTTTCGAGGAATATCTCCCAATCTAGAGGAAATAACGAAATTTTTATGAAGATCTTTTTTCAAGAGCGAATTGAGAGCTACAAAAAAGGTCATGACAAAAACTTTGCCATCTCCTCTAGATTTCGAGATATTCAACGAAAACTGGTCAATAGTTGAAATCGCCTTGAATTTTTCGTTTTACCTTCGTTTTAAGTTTCTCAATCCTCGCAGGTTTGACCTTGAGATCAGGTGGAGCATGAACAATATCCCCGAACTTGATATCCTCCCTAAACTGTTTAAACTCATCGATATTCTCCTGCAACTTGGAGGCCTTCTTCATCTCCAATTTCCTCATTCGTTTCTGACTCTTCGACAATTTCGGTTCAGTCGTCGTCCTCTTCTTCTTCCCAATGTTCTTGTGTTTCTTCTGCAACTTCATCAACTCGTCGATCTCGTCCTTGGGACTCTTCTCCAACCCCTCAATCGTCCCAGTCTCCGCATTCCTCTTGACCTGAACGTTGTACTTCTTCTCGAAGACAGTTTCGTTGATGAAATTCTGAGTTTCTCTGTGGACTCTGTTGAGAAATTGATGAGGCTTCTCGTTGGGCATCTGATTGAACACGGGCACAACTTTTTCGGGCCTCCCTTTGGGATGTTTTGTTGATTGACCGCCTCCGCCTATTTTAATTAATTTGTCTTTTACTTTTCCTCGTTTTTTCCTCTTTGCAACTCCTATTCGCCCACTCTTAACGTCATCCTTCAGTTTAATTACTCTTTGCAGACTCTTGGGGATTATTTGCTCGTCGTCTTTGGGGGGATTGTTTACTTTTGTTTTTAATCTGTAATAAATAATTGTTTGTAAATGTTGAAATGACACAGCAACGAGTTTATTTTCCTCTTATTTAAAAAATGATTTTTATATTTTTATCTAATATCTAATACAGAAGAGAATGCAGTGTTTTTTATTATTATGTTTTATCAATGTTAATAATGGATTAAACTGTTGATAGAAAGAAACTGTATTTTCAACCTATTTCTCACTAAATTACATTTCCAGTGAAAATTTCATAAAAAATACGTTGACATGTTATTGTTTCACTAAAAAATGCCTCTCTTTGTAACAATAGAAAATTGTTTTCATTGTTCATTCGTCTATTGGTCGATCATTTTAAGATATTTCAAGATTTTTTTTTTAAATTTCAGGAGTAATTTATTTAACTGAATACTAACTTTTAATTGGTTCGTTCAACAAATTGAATAGACCTTTTCATTCTCGAAATTTAGGGGAAATATTTATTCTATTGATCAAACGGAAAAATCTTCGGAAAAATAATGAATGTCTAATATTTACATTTTAAAAAAATCTTTGCATTTAAAATTATATAGGGGAGGTTGGGGTAAAACAGATACTTTTGACTTTTTTAAAAATGTCAATGAGGGGTTGAAATGTTGATAAAATTTAATAATTTTTATTTCAATACAAAGAACAATTCTTTCCCTTTATGACGAGCCTAAAGTGAGCTCAATTGATCAATTTGTTTCTGAGTTATGAATAATTTTAATAAAGTCTAAAGTGTCCGTTTTACCCTACCCACCCCTACAGTCGACCACTAAACTTCGTAAACAGCCTGAACTTGCACTCTGTCTATTCTGTTTACGAACTTTATTGCTCGACTGTACATTTCCATCTTCAAAAATGGTGATTTATTAATTCGGTGGAAGTCTCCGAAACTCCTAGGGGAATTAAAATGTGAGAAAATTATTCGAAAATCCAGTGACACTCAGAAGAAACGCTCTATTATCTTTCCATATTATTCCCAAATGTTATATTGTTCTTCCCAAATTACTGGATTCTAGAATTCTCATTTCCTCGAACCCCCCATAACCTCAAAAGTAAACATACTCAGCCCATCTCTGTGCGCGTTGTTTCTCCGGATCCTTCACTCCCCTGTGCTTTTTCCCCGGGATTTTCCGCCCCATCACCCCCAAATTCAGCAACTATCGAACCAATTGACGTGTAATCCCCTATTAAACTCCGAAAAACCACGTGTAGTCCTCCAAGTGTTGTGTGTGCAAGTGAAACTGCTGTTCTAACCTTCGCCCGCTCAACATGTTGAACATCTGATCGCTGTCTAAGGTAAGGTTGCATCATTCTCTCGAGTAAAAATACATAACAGACAGATAAAAATGTCTCACGTGTCGACATCATGATGAATGAAATAAATAATTCGCGTTCAACGACTGAACAAATTAGAAAAGTGAAGAAACGATTCTGAATAATCGGTGATTAACTTCGTGAATAATTAAAGTGTGAGTGAAACTGTTAGACAAAACTGCCCTAGAACATATTGACAACAAAGAGTTCTCTCATATGTTTATATAATGCTCGTCTCGTTTGACATTCGATCGTCATCCTGACGCAAAATTACTCTCGTGCAATAATGGCAGCGTTGGCTCGATTGATGCCTGTGATACTAGAAAACAAGAGAGTTTACCCCAGAACAATTGAGATATTTGAAATATGTAGATGGAGATACTCGAGTTCAGGTAGAAATACTGATAATGGGGAGGGGAGTAAAGGGAGACGGCCTATTCTCAGTGAAAAGGTCATAGAGGAGGCCTCAGACTCGATGGATGACCTGGTGGAGCCCACAAACTGCTGCATGAGGGGCTGTGCCAACTGCGTGTGGATTCGTTATGCCGAGAAGTTGAGCAAAAGATTAGCTGACAGTAACGCTGACATTCAGAAGATTATTATTGAAAAAGTTAAGGACCCTAATATGAAGGCTTTTCTGTCTATGGAACTCAGATGTCGAAAGATTTGTTGAAGGGGTTATTAAAGATTGTTTATTAGGATTCTAGTAATTAATGGAGGAATTTTTTTCTTACCCTGTTTTTACTAATTTAATTTTGTGTGAGGATTGCTTAATTTTTTTTGTTGAGGCGAGGTCGAGCCAATTTGCACACTGTTAAAGAAAACTGCTCTAGAACATGTTGACAACAAAGAATTCTCTCATGTTTAGGAGAGGGAGGGGTAAAATGGAAACTTTTGACTTTTTTAAAAATATTCATAACTCAGAAACAGATTTATCAATTGAGCTCAGTCTAAGCTCATCACAAAGAGGAATCATCATTGGTCTTTCAATTGAAAAATAAAATTATTCCATTTCATGAACAATTCAACACGTCATGAATATTTCAAAAAAAGTCAGGACTGTCCATTTTACCCGACCCTCCCCTATATCAGTAGCGAAGTGGTAAAAGGAGATAAGTCGATTTTGACTATTGACCAGTTTTCAAACAATATCTCGGAATCTAAGAGAGATAGCGAAATTTTTGTTATACCTTTTTTGTGGAGCCGATTGAGTGCTATAACAAATGTAATGACGAAAATTTCGCTATCTCCCTCAGATTCCGAGGTATTGACTGAAAACTGGTCAATAATCAAAATCGACTTATCTCCTTTTACCACTTCGCTACTGATGTAATGCTCGTCTCGTTTGACATTCGATCGTCATCCTGATATCGTCATCCTGCTGTCGTAAAATTGAGAAGCCATTATGAAATTTCGAAAAATATGACACATTTATTGCTATTTAAATGTAATGACATGACACAACATTATTTCACATTTATCTCGACATTTTCACCAATTCTCCCTAAACCTACTACTTTCCCAGATATTTCTCACCAACATTCAAGAATTCGTAGTTCAATTTCTTACTATTTTTCTTAATTACTAATATCTTTTCTACGAATCCTTAATTATCTTGCCTATGGCAGTGTTTTTAGCTCAGGTGCGTCCTCGTAACTACAACTATTCAATAATTATTTACAACCGATTTCTTGGACTTATGAATCTCTCTTGATTGAAAAAATCACATCGATAATTTGCCTCCACCGAGGGCTCGTCCTGAGATTCCTCATTTTCAATTTCTCCTCTTTGAAGAGCAACCACTCTTGTCTGTCCTCTGGCTTGAGTGGGCCCCACTCCCTTGATGAGCTGAACGCACTCTTGATCATCTGAACAAAAAATCGTTGTTAATTTCATTGCTTCATTAATTATCGTTCGACTCTCATCAATTACTGGTAATTACCTTTCCGGGCGATGTACTTCTCCGCTTGATCATGGCAGCGACTCCCCAGATGGGGATCTGGGAGATTCCGAAGGCCAGGAGAATTGCCCCAGCAATGTGAGCATATTTCGGATAGGTCGCATTGCCATAAGTCAAAGGTGGCAATGTCGAGACTGTGTAAATGAATATTATGATGAGGGTGACGGGAGTTATGATGAACCAGCAGAGTCTCCAGTAGACACTGGGCTCCCTCTTGATCATGAACTCGACGTCCTCCAAGAAGTTTTCAATCCCTAACAACATTTTATTCATTAGAATCTGCAGAGTGCCAGTTATTTTACGGAAATTTTTTTCTTTATTTACCGTAAAACCACATGATTCCAGTTATCTCGAAGGAGGCTAATATGAACACGACGAATGATGTTCCATAACGATCCACCAAAACCAGGATGAATTGGCCTCCCTAGGATAATTAAATTGAAAATAATTTTAGTGTGCATTCGTGAATTCCATTTGCATTTCCCCGGTTTTTAGTTGAAAATAAAAAATCAACAGCAGAATAGATGACGGAAATCAATCGATAGATTTTCATTGTTTTGTGGAACTTATTCTGTAGAGAAAAAAAACTTGAATTTCAACTTATACAGCATTTGTCACAATGATGTTGACATTGCGATTTAACGCGAATTGTGAACTTTGCGATTTTTCGCGAAGATCGCCGGCTTTTGAAAATGCCTCGTGCAATTGTTCGACACTTCTGGCGCCTCCGAGTGTTTCATTAGCATCAGAATCATTAGTAGATACAGAATCCACGTTCACTCGGAGGAAAAATTCGATATGCTGAAAGTCGACTTTCCCCCTGGAAATATCCAAGGTCTGACACTCTGGCCCAGGTGAAAGTGATAAAAATTTTTTAACATGAAATATCCAAATAAACAGACAAGTCTTAACATCAATTTCAACCCTGTCCATGCATGAAAAAAAAATTTTGCTTTCATTCACGGGCAGGGTTGGGCCAACCGGCATGAATCATGAAAAGAAACCTTAGGAAATGTTTCAAAGAGCAATAAAAAGAAGACGAAATTTCTTGGCATCTTCATCAACACTTACTGGAGTAACATACAGGAGTCCAAAGAGAAATCCAATGAAGCAAGTTGGATACAGAACTTGCCAGTGTTTAATATTCGGGAATTCCCCGGTTATTGCTGCTATCACACTTCCAGCGATGCCCGATGCACTGCCAACACCAAGAACGAACATCATCATGAAGAAGAGAACCGAAAAGATCTGGGGAGATAATGTTTTTTAGTGATTCCATTCAAATCAGTGAATTTATTCACACTGATCAGACAGAGAGAAAAAAAAAGCCTTAATTTTCAGGGATGTATCACTGATTTTAAGATTTTGTCACCGATTTATAGTGACATCATCACTAATTTTCAGAATAATGTCTCTGATTTTCAGTCACTCATCTCAAATTTTTACGAATCTGTCACCAAATTGCAGTGCTAAAAATTACTGATGATCAGGGTCACTCTAGTCAGTGTCCAATGATTATCTATCACCAATAATTGGGGATAGATTTCCAAAAATTACGCCCAGCAAAACGATTTATTTCAATTAAATGAACTTCATTTGAATCAAATAAATGCTCTATTACGATGAAATAAACGATTTATTTAATTCTAATGCAGTTTATTTAATTCAAATAAACTATTATTTTGCGTGTAGAGATAGATTACTGAAAATTAACGAAATGTTCCTGAAAATAATTTTTTTTCGTGATTACTCACTTGCGGAACAAAGGAAAATTTGGCAATGGCATCGGGATACGAGATGAAGGCTAAACCAGTGCCACTTCGAACGACAGTCGAAATATCGTCGGTCCCCATCTCCTTAGCTAAATTACCAAGGATTCCAAATATAGTGCAGCCAGCTATCAGACTCGTGACGGTATCCAAACTCGTGATTATTATGACATCTCTGGAAACGAAAAAACAGGATTAAATATACGGGGAAGTCGTAAAACGAGATAACTAATTTTAAGATTAATTTTGAGAATTATCGTCGGAGTTAAGACTCCGTTGTGCGCGCAAAATTTACAAACGACGTTGGTCGCGCCGCACCAGCTTAAATCAACATAATAATAGATTGAAAGATCTAGGAAAAATCTGAGAAAAATCAAAAGTGATCTGGATCACTGGGGGCCGAAGTGTCAGATCTTGGATTTTTTCAGGGAGAAAGTCGGTCAAAGGGTCACGAGGGTCAAAGTGTCAGATCTTGGATTTTTCCAGGGGGAAAGTCGACTTTTGCCAAAATCGAATTTTTTAGCCGGGGGGACGTTGATTCCAACTATTTTAAGCGGAGTGTTAACTCTAGTCGGGTCACCAAACGCAATCCTGCGATTGGTCACCTCCGCGGGGATTCCCCCAGCGTTATTTAGTTTTTAGCGTTGCCGAATTCACTCTACAGTGGCCGGACGCGTTTAGCGAGTTTCCGGCAACGTCACGTCATGGGCTATTTCATTTAAACGTGAGAAAAATAATTCATGTGTCCGAAATAATTTGTTTTCTTTAGGAATTTTTGAAAATATGTTATTCTGAAAATTACTGTAATTTTTTAGACACTTCCATTGACAAATTCTATTTTTTCAATTTTTCCGGTGAATCAGTCAATTGTAATTGAAGAAAAAGGCCGCGCGGCGCGTTTTCCCTTATAGGGCGACCAATCTAGGGTTAAGGGAGATGTCAGAGTTTTTATAGAAACGTTGCCGACGAAACATTGCGTGAAAAAATCTAGCGAATTCGATAGAAAATTCTGTTGTATTTCTGTTGAACTTCTATTGGAAATTCTCTCAGTTTTTTGTCGATTCTACTGCAGAATTTCAGCGAAAATTTCCGATGGAAACTATTTTATAGACAAAATCATTAGAATTTCATATTTCTTCCGTTCAAAAGCAAAAGTAAAGAATTAAATATATGAGGAGAGATCTCATCACCTGTAGATATTGTGCCTGAAGTTATTATGCGAAGAGAACGTGATGATTGCGCCGAAGCAGACCGAAAGTGAGAAGAAGCACTGGGTAATAGCGGCATACCAGACACCTGGCTCCAGCAGTTTCGACCAGTTCGGATTTATGAAGAAAATTATTCCATTAACCGCCCCGTCCAGCGTGACAGCCCTGATCACCAAGGCGATCAGAACGACGTAAGGAAAAATAGCGAGGAAGTACGATGCTTTCCCCGTGCTCCTGATTCCTCGTGATAGTACCCCATAGACGCAGATCCAGCTCCCAGCGAGACAAAGGGCGAGCTTCCAGTCAGGCAGGCCAATGCCATCATCAATGTTCGCCTTCTCCTTCAGGACTATTTTTCTGGGAGAGTTTTACATAACTTAGAAATCGAAGTTCTTCATTTTTTCATCGCAAAGAGTAAAAACGTTTCTTGTTATCAGTAAAAAAACAAAAATTCTGAGTTTTGAGATTCTGGGGCACACTGAGAGAAAAACGAACAAGTTCTCAAAGACGTATTGTTTGGGTCCAAAGAATCACGTAAAAAATTATCGAAAAAGAAGCTCGGAAAAAATTTACCTACGATATTTTTTATCATTTGAAGCTCTGCTCTACTTTATTATTTTCTTGATGAGTGTTCCAAATGTTCCCACAATCGCTTTAAGAGCGCAAATATTCTCTATTCAAAAACTTGTCTGTGTGTCTTAGTATTATTATTATTATTATTATTATTATTTGCAATCAATTGTAAGCGCATATGAAAAATTTCTCCTAAAAACTAGAAACGTTTTTTCTCTAATGCAACAAGACATTCCTCGCTGAGGAATCACTCACGAGAAATATAATTCCGCCGAACTCCTCATTAAAGCGGTATTTTTGATTATGTGGCTTGTGTTCATTGCGACCCCTTCAACAACATTATCCCGAGTTTTTCCTGAATTAACGCAATAATCCCCCCATTCTTCTCTACACTCTGCCCAAGGTAACTGCGATGAGAATGACGCTACTAGGTAATAAAGTGTCAGAGCCATTAGGGAACAGTAGTATGTGGCTAGTGCTGCTATCGAAGCCATCTGAGCCCATCCAACACCTGATGAAAAGCAAAGTCAATGTTTATTGACGTAACATTCAACTTTACGATGCTAAAAATAATTTATTGTTTATGATTGAAACATGTATGGGGCAGATGAGAAGGAATTGATTTAAAAAACATTACATATTTCATCATCCCGGTAATGACTGAGTTTAATGGGCAACATTCTTTCTTAGGAATGACACATCATCAAGATAAATTGATTATTAATTGAGTATTAAAGATATTGAGTTAGACGGATTGAATCATGGAAAAATTATTGATTGTTGCGTGATTTGAAGATTTGACAATTGTTGACACGTGTGATTTTTACACATTGTTAAATATTTATTTATCTCATTATTACTGATTTGTATCGGTCAATAGTGGCAGACGATTTTTGAAGAGAATTTCGTCAGCTAAAAAGGTCTTTCGAATTTTTTTTTATCAATCGCACATCGACGAGATCGATTGACTGTTAATATAAAATGCACGTTGGGTTGATCGAATTATGGAAAAATTATCGATTGTCTCAAATCCGTGAAGTGAATTTTTCTGTATTGCAAGTGATTTTTAGTGAAAACTTTGAAAATCATCGGAAGATTTTAATTGTTCACGCGTACGATTTTCACATGCTGTTGAATTTTGAATTATCTCGATTATTATCTTCATTTCTATTTCGATCAATCGGAGTGCAGTATTCTGAGTCACGTGACGCGCGGGCTAAACTTATAACATCCCCGGCGGCGAGGAAAATAATGGACCTGATTGCCCTGTGGCCTGTCTTTTTTTTTCTTACCAATTTGACAAAAATTCTTAACGTTTTTGGGATACGGATCATGTGACCCCTAAAACTGCATTCTGATCTCCCTAAATTAGAATAAACGAAATGAAATTAAATCCTGCGATTTGTTAAAAATGAAATTATCGCGACACCAAGTGATGTTAGGGAAAAATTCCAGAAAACTTTGTTGGAAATTTTATCAGCGATGAAGAAAATTACCTTCTGGCTTTTCCCTCAATCTATTACTCTATTAATTACCAAACAATGCGCAACGATGATTCATCATTTCACTAATTAGTTCTAAAAAAAAACATGGGCAATGTCTCGAATCGAAAATGACAATTCGATCGTCTTGCGTCCAATTTTCATGAAGCGCGCCTAACAAACAAAACAAAATTGAATACAATCCTATGAAAGACGAATAAGCGAATTATAATTGTGCAAATCATTTAGGTCAGAGGAAAATAGAATAATTCTACTTTCTGAATATTGCATGTACTAAGTTTTTCTTCAAACAAAGTTGATTAGAATTAATAGCTAGAATTATGAGATTATCTCACATTTTTGGCGTTAAGAATAGGAGAATCTGAATGCAATATAGTGAAAATGATGATCGATTTTTTCGCTTTAAACAAATAATATTAATATCCAAATACAAAATTTCTGATATGAATAAAAAGAAGCTGTGACTCAATATTCCAAATGAAGTTTTAATTTTTAATTTGGTTGAAAACACGAGATGACAATATTCTAAATACGGAATTATATTGATAAGATGAACAACAGATTAATTGAATTACCGTGTGAGCTAACTAAAAATTGATAACAGTGTGGGCACGCACTTTTACCAGAGTATCAACAAACATTGAATTCCAGAAATTCACACTCTAAAGTGTGTTCTAGAAGGGATTGAATTGTAATTATGATTGAAATCTTATTTAGTGAGTGATGAGCAAATTATTCATTCTAATATGAACATTTAACAGTAATTTTTCCAATGAGAATGATTATAAACAATTGAGGAATAATGGAAAAGCATCAACAGTGGCGTTAGTGAATAATTAACTTTGATTGACCTGTGAATACCGGACAGAATGACCAGACTTTGGTGGAGCTCCGCCCCGTGAACTGTCCGAGTATCATCTCCATGTAGTAAAACGGTTTGCCCACTAATATCAGCAGAATAATGTACGGAATGAGGAATGCACCGCCACCGTTCTCATAACATGTGAATGGGAATCTCCAGACATTTCCAAAACCGACGGACAGGGCCACGCAGGACATGAGAAATTCGATACTGTTGTTCCATCCTCTAGCCTTCGATTTTCCTTGGGGTCCATTCGTCTCCGATGATGAGGATATACTGCCCTCTGGCTCCGGATCGAATGCCTCATTGTCCTGACCAATGATCGTTTTCTGGAAGATTATTTTAGAAATTGTCTCAATGCCTCTGGTCTTTATTTAGTTAACGGTAACTTTGATGCGTTTCAATTTTTATGCCGCCAATTTCTCATTCAATTTCAATGGCAACAACGGGATAAATGTAGGGTCAATCACCACTCGCTGCATTAATTAATTCACATAATTAACGTATTGTCTGGATAACTGGAGAAATGAGTGTAAATTATTTGGAATTGCAACTGAAAAAAAAAATCCTTGAACTACTATCGTTTTATGACTTGATTCGTATTTTCCAATTGTGCTGACAAAACACATATTTGAGGCTCGTGTGCACTGAATTTTAGCAACGGAAAATTTTCATCAGGACTCACACGGAAAAATTATATTAAAAATTCAATTGAATTTCTGTTGAACTTCTATTGAAAATTCTATTAGATTCGGCTGATTTTATTGAAGGATTTATTGAAGAAATAAATTGTATTGACGAATATTTTATAGAAAAAATCAGTAGAATTTTTTTTTATATTTCTATATCATTTTTTCTATCGAAACATTTTCTATAGAAATCCCTCGACGTCAACTCTCCAAGTTTTTTCACGAATTTTTTAAATAGAATCGGCTAAAAATCAAGAGAAAGCTCAGTGGAAATCCAACAGAATTTTCGAGTGAATCCGCTAGCTTTTAATCTTTTCGATTCTATTATCGAAAATAGTTCAATTGTGACAGACACTTCACGTAAGGATAACTTTGATAGCCTCGAGCATCAATCTTCCCGGATCACGTATCTAAATTCAAGTGCAAATATGTACTCTGACGTTCTATTCCTTTTAACATTCATGAATTATTAGAACTGAATGAACAAACAAATTTATTAATCACCGAAGATTCTTAGGAATAAATTAACAAATGTGGTGATGAATAATTGTAAGTTATACTAGTAATAGCGAGGGCATCACTCCCGTCGAATTTTGTCATTCATTTATCATAAATGAATCAATCAATGATCAATGAATGATGAATTATCGATCAGTAGTCATGTCAACTCATCTCTAGATCAAATGAGTTTTTTCACATAAATATTCTCTGAAAATAGATGACAGTCATATGCCTTAGAAAAATGTGCATGAAAATTTAACTATTCACTGAAAAATGAAGTTAAAATTTGAGTGAACATTTTATAATTTTGATTTACCACTTCGCAAACCCTTAAATTGTAACAATTAGAGGCATTTTCATTTTCTTATCAATATCAAATATGTAATTGTGAGTTTCTTGAGGAAATAACACTGCTTACCACTGTCATCCTGATTGCAGTATCAAGAGTTCCCAAAAGTTGTATTATCTTGAGTTAAAAATTGAGGTAAAAAAAAATTTGAATTGTTATGTATGATGGAGAAGTGGTAACAGCATGTCAAGAATTTTAGTACAATCAGCTTGACAGTAATATGGGAACTAAGCTTTCGCCCACTGACAACTGTTAAGAGTCTTTAGACCCACCGTGTCCCCTCCCTTTTTATTTCTACATCAGATAAGAAACTTGCACGACAGTTTCGATAGACTGCGGATACACCTGTCATGGATACTCGTCAATAGAATCTGGGGTGTATTAATACTGCGGGTTTTTATAGTGAATAAACAGGAAATGTTTGATGTAAATGATTGATGGAGAGCGTCACGTATGAAAAAATCGTATAGAAATTTTCGATACGGATTGCGTATAGAAATTCTATAGGATTTCCGTATATGATATTCGGATATTTCTATACGAATATTTTCTACACGAATTATTTCTATAGATAAATTTTTACATAAATTTTTGGTTTCATACGAAAGATGTCTAAACGCTCCAGAGAAAAACGTAGAGAAGTGTCGCAACTCCATACGAAATGTTTCTGTAAATGTCGCAGTGGGTCGTATAGGATCAACCCTATAGAAATCGTATAGAAATAATTTGTATAAAAAATATCTGTACAGAAATATTCGAATATCATATTCGAAAATCTTATAAAAATTCTATACGCAATACGTATAGAAAATTTCTATACGATTTTTTTCATACGTGGTGAATTGCTCGGTTTTATTCAAAATTATTTTTCCAGTAATTTAACGTAATTAGCGTTTATGAGGTATGGAATTTCGAAGTCTTTTGTGAAAGTCTGAAGATCGTTAAGGATTTCCGAGTTTGGGCTATAGTATGGATTTAAAGAATTTCAATCACGAAATTGGTTAAATATATTGTAGGAGAGAAATTGAGTATGAATCATGGATAATTATTCTCTAAGTAGGAGAGGGTCGGCCAAAATGGAACGTTTGCGATAGAATTGAATTAATTCAATTAATTCAAAAATTAATTATTCAATTAATCAATTATTAATTCATTAATTCAAAAGTTTTTGATAGTTTTTTTTATAAACAGAAGTATTGGGAGTTTGAAGCGATGACCAATTTTTCAATTTGTCTCAGCTTCCCCTACCGCTTCCCAAATAAATTTTGTTTTTCATCACTTGCAAAAAATTCAAAAACCTAGGGTTCAATTGGAGTTCCGATATCCGTCCGCAAGAAAAGGTCAACGTACTATTAAAGAATTTCTACTTTCATAAATGATGATCAGTGATAATCCAACTGACAATTATTTTGTTTCTAATTCGTCGATAAATACTGTGTGAAGTACTTCACAAAATGCCTAAGTACACATTCTCTTATCTCAAAACCTGACCTTTTTCCCGTATTTTTCTATGTCAATGTAACATTCTTAAGATAAATTGCATTTTCAGGTCAATATTCATATAAATTTACATTCTGATTAAATTCCAATAAAAAAATAATGGACTATTTGCCACTAAAAAATGATGTAATTCCATTTGAAACTTTTGCTATGCCTCAAGTACAGTAAAAAACCTCACTAAAATATTCCTTATTTAATCAGCGATAAACTTCTTCGAATTACGATGAAATGAAGCCGCAGAGCGATATAGAAAACGTAATTTTATTTCATACGAAGACAGAGCGAGATATTTCCTTCAAGTAACAACATGAAATAGTAACAATGAAACAAATTTTCGAAGGCTTTTTGATAATCTTTACACATCTACATTAAACACCTATAACATAGTATCGTAATATCATGGTAATTGAATTGAAGTGATAGACGACAGACTGATGAAATAATCACTACATTTGATGTAACACTGGTGTAGTCTTGCTTCATTTTGACTTGAAGGATGGATTATTTCACGTCATTGAAAAAGAATCACAGTTCATTTATTTATCTTTCGCAATTATTGCTCGTCGTGGAAGTTATAATACTGAAGGCTGTACAATTTTACCACTATGTGAATCTAGAGATGAATATTTACAATCGTCGGGGAAGGGATTATTTGGTTTTTACGTTAGCTTATCCTCTTGACAAAAAACAACGTAAATGAATTGCTTGAGCTTCGAACTTGTTCTTGTCGCTTGCTTTTTTCGTAATGTTTCCTTGAATTGTTTCCATGCGGCGCGTTCGGCGGAGGATCGGGGACCCCAGAGGGCGGTGGGAAGAAATGATGCCTCGAACATCTGTAATTGACAATTATCGAATAGTTTATTTCGATACGAGTGCGTGAAAATGTTTTATGACACATTTCCCACAAAAAAAAAAAAAAAAAATAATAACAATAATAATGAAATAATAATAATTAAAATGTCGATTTTAATTATTATTGAAATTCAAGTCAATCAATTATTATTAAAATTGAATTATTTTCATTTTTTTTAAATTTATAATAATTTAAATTTTAGTACGATTTCTCGCTAATGTAGATTATCATATCCTAATGTAGTTTCTCACCTCATATAGACCTAAATGACGGTTTTTGAGGAATGTGTATGCCATCCAAAATGGAATTTGAAGAACTCCGAATGATAGCACTGTCCACCCAGCAGCTGCAATTATAGAGATTACATCATGAGGGCGAGAATAAATTTAAGGATATCTAATCAATTGAATTCTTTGAGAGAAATTTCACAATATTCATGATTACTTCTTGAAAATACTTTTTTCTAAATATTCCATGTTTATAGATTAATAATGGCAATTTTTTAAACTCTGAAGGTGCATTTTTTTGCATCAAATAAGGAATTATTATGTTTAGAGTGCACAATTAATTATTCAGAAATTATTTATAAAAAAAAATTATCAATATTGACATTAAAACAGTGAAAAACAACTTCACGGAATAATTTGATACTAAATCACGTGATTACCCACCATATGCACTATCGGGGTAGTAAACTCCTCCATAAGTGAGTGGAGTTAGTGTAGCAATAGTGTAGATAAGGATTGTAGCGAGTACTAGAGGTGTTGCAATGCCCCAGCAGAATCTCCAGTAGACGCCGGGTCGTTTTTTCAACATGAATTCAGTGTCACTGAGGAAATTTTCAAGGCCGTAGATCCAGAAAATTCCGGTGATTTCCAGTGTCGCCAGGCAGAAGACGATGAATGACGCGGCATAGTAGTCAACAAGACTGAGCATGAACTGACCTCCCTGATTTATTTCGAATATAACTAATTATAAATGATAATTCTACTCTATTCGATACCAATTGGAGACTTATATGTTTTTTTCTATAATAATTTGTGTTATGGAATTGACATAAAAAAATAATAATTATTATTATCATTTCTATTATTATCGGTAATTATTGTTAATTATTATTATTATTCTGTATTAACAGATGAATCTTTGAAAAAATCGATTGAGCGTCTATTAGAACTCTATTGGGCATAAGATTTCTAAGTTTTGCTTCGGAATGAAAGCTATGCAACCCTGATTTTTTCGATTTCCTAATTTTGAGTGGAAATATGCAGACATGTCATGAAATGTGAAGAAATTATGTTTTTAAGAGAAACTCAAAGCAATGGGAAAATTACTTTCGCTGCAATTGAATTCATTTAAACAATTAATTTTTCACTCATAGCGTATTCAAACTCCCCCCATAAAAAGATATGTAAAAAATATAAAAAACATATATAAAAATATAGAAAACATATATTTTACATATTTTTTTTACATAAATTGGGCCAATTTTAGATGTTTTCTTATATATTTTTCAAAATATAAATTTTTCCGTGCGGGTTCCGAGGCCAAATTTTTTATTCTGACAAAAAATTGGAAATTTCGGATTTGACGAATGCAATGCTTCCAGTCCATAGCTCATTTGAATTTTCTCAAAGTTCAGCTATGAGAAACGATCTGAACACTTTGAAATTCCATGAAAATTTAAAAGTCTCAACAAACTAGTGAATGTTCATAATTACCGGTGTGCAGTAGAGAGTTCCCACACAGAATCCAAAAATGCAAGTGCCAAGGACAACATACCAATACTTGATTCTCGGAAACTGATCACAGATGATGCTGATGATTCCTCCAGTGAGGGCAATAGCACTGCCGATCCCCAGAACGTACAGCATCAGGAAGAAGAGAAATGAGAAAACCTAGAAGACGAAATTGATGCATTCTAGAATCACGAATCACATTCGAAACTGTTGAGAGTTTTTCTAGGGTTGTGTGGAGGTTGTGAGGGATATTGGAATATGTGACATCACCTGAGGGAGTATGTTGAATTTAGCAATGGCGTCTGGATAAGACACAAATGCTAAACCTGTTCCACCTTTCACGACGTTGCTGACGTCGTCGGTTCCGAGCTCGTGGGCCAAATTGCCCAAGATTCCGAATATTGTGAAGCCTGCCATGAGACTTGTGAAGGTATCCAAGGTGGTGACGACTATAACATCTCTGCGGAGTTATGGGATTCAATGAAAATTATGTTTAACTCAAGATAAATAAAGGATTAGATGAAGAATGAAAGCCAAAGTAGCTATGGAGCGGAGAAAAGCAAAGTTTTTTGAGAAGTACGTCTTTACTTGGATAAAAAAAAATCGTGGCTTGAAAATTTTCAAGAGTAATATATCTTGCACTAAGGAAAAAAAACTTGGCAAGAAATTTTGTAGTTGTCCTAAAGGCGAGGACAATTTTTTCGGTGACAAGAAAGCGATTTTACAAACCAAGTAAAATTAAATTCATTAATTTCATTTACTAGTTTTTTAGCCTCAATTCTAAAATATTTCAACCGAAAAGGTTTCATGAACTTTCCCTCGGAATTTTAAAGTGTTTCGTGCCCTGTGACACGCGGGAAAAAAATTTGTGCTCCATCCACAGAAATGGAGACAAACAAGTTTTCTCCATTTTCTAGCCGATCGTCCCTTTCTAAAAATTTCCAATCTCCAATTCGTAATTTTTGCAATTCATTGGTATTTATGTAATTCTGTTCATTCTATCAAAAGACAAGGAAAGGAATCAAAAACTCGATTTGAAAAATTTCAAGAAATACACGGAGAAATGGATTTTTATATTACTCGAATGAGATTTCGACTGACTTTTGAATTGAGTGTTTGTTTTCATCGCAAAACACTTTTTATTGATCTTTAACATAATGCTTCTTCATTCAATGTTGTAACACGTGAACTAAGGAAAAAATATATAATAAAAATAGGAATGGATAAGATTAAATTGATCTAATTGTTTAGACAAAATGGAAAGAAAATAAAATAGAACAGCATTTAACTAATCTAGCGAGTTCGCTAGTAAAGAGTAATAATATAAATCCATTCATTTCTGAAAATCATAATTGCAAAATAGTGAGAGCAAAAAATCCTGCAATCGACGGATGAATGAATCAATGAAATATTGAGTTTACCTGTAAATATTATGACGGAAATCATTATACGAAGAGTACATAACAACTCCGCCGAAGCACACAGAGAGCGAGAAGAAGCACTGAGTGACAGCGGCATACCACACATTGGGATCGAACAGCTTATCCCAATTAGGTTTTATGAAGAAGATGATTCCGTTGATTGCACCTTCGAGAGTAACAGCCCTAATCAGCAGAGCTATCATGATTATGTATGGGAAGATTGCGAGGAAGTAGGCTGCTTTCCCCGAGCTCTTGACACCCTTGGCTAGGACGCCGAATATGCAGGCCCAAGCTGCGAAGAGGCACATGGTCAACTTCCAGTCTGGCAGGCCGATTCCATCGTCAATATTGAATTTTTCCTTTAGCACGATCTTTCTAGAAATCATTGCGAAGATATTTGGAAAGTTATTATCACTTTGATGACAACAATAGACAAATAATGAGTCGACAACTGATGTCTTTGAATCCCAGTTGGGGAGAATTTCACAAGTGGGAAATTTATGAAGAACAAATCGTTTTGCAGTGACAATTTCAACTTTTTCTGCACATTATTTTTTATCATTATGTATTCATTTCAGAGATCGGTGCAAATATTATTCTCACCAATATTTGCGCCGCAAATATATATTCTTTGCTTAGTCACTTGACGTGTGAATATTTTTCATTTTATTGTGAATGAATATTGAGAAAATCACATTTTTTTAATGCCGCATCAATGAGTAATAATAAATAATAGAAAATTATTATTTATGAATGCGCTTTAAAAAATCATTTTCCCTGAGAACTGCAGGCAGAAAAATTGTTTATTTGAAATAAATAAATTTTATTTGAATTAAATAAATTATTTTAACAATACGAATTTTTGAGGATTTATTTGATTAAAATGAAGTTTATTTAATAATTCCTATAAACCACTGCAATTGGTTTTTACAAAAAAAAAGCTTCATGAACTCACGAAAAATAAAGTTCAGCAGAACTCTTCATAGTTCCAACGTCAATCGAAGAATTGCGAGTGACATTGGACTTCCCCGAATGCATGCAGTTGTCCCCCCACTCAGGGAGACAAGCGGCCCAAGGTAATTCTGCGCTGAAGCTACTGAATAAATAAATAAGAGTGATGGACATCAGGGAGCAATAGTAGGTGGCCACTGATACCATGGAGAACATCTGTGCCCAGCCGACTCCTCTGAAGGCTGGCACTGCCGACCACATCTTCACGGAGGATCTGCTCGTAAACTGGCCGAGTATCATCTCTAGGTAGTAGAAGGGCTTTCCCACGAGAAACAACACGATTATGTAGGGAATTAGGAAGGCACCTCCGCCGTTCTCGTATGCCGTGAAGGGAAAACGCCAGACGTTGCCCAGACCTATTGACATTGCTATGCAGGACATGAGGAATTCCCAACTGTTGCTCCACGTTGGTCGGGTCTCTTCAGGGGGGGTTTGCGGGGTTTGTGGGGGCTGACTAGAGGGGGGGAGTTTGTCCAGCTCCAGAGCGCGATTGGGATCCTGGAAGACAAAAGTTCGTTCAAGCGTGTTACCCCTTTCTGGTGACTGCCATTTTCGACTTTTTTTAAAATCAATCGGTATTTATAAACTGGGGGGCCTCCATATGACCAACATATGACCTTCATGACCCTTCTTGTGACCCTGAGTTTCCGACCCCCATAACCATTATTTGGACCCTTACAGTGACCTTGTGACCCTTAATCTCATCGGTGTCACCCTTATTCAGACCCTTAATCTGACCCTCACGACCCTTAATCTGATTCTCGTGCCCCTTATTCTAACCCTGATGAACCTTAATCTGATACTTGTGACCCTTATTTTGACCCTCACGATGCTTACTCTGACCCTCAGGACCCTTATTATAACCCTCATGACCCTTATACTGACTCAGATGACCCTTATGCTGACCCTCATGAACCTTGCTCTGACCCTCACGACCCTGATTTTAACCCTTATAACCCTTCCGTTTGAAGTCTTAATTTCGAGTACCGAATTTTCATCACCAGAAGTCGATTTCGATTTTTATAATATAGAGAGAGGCGAATAACTTGAAAGCTAATTGTCATTCAACTTTTTTTTGTAGTATCACTCATCACCGAGACAATTAATTAAATTATTACTTTCTGAGTGATGTCATTGTCGACTCTCCTGAGGTCAATTTTACTGAATCCATCGTCTCCAATGAATCCCGGGTTCTGCACTCCACACTGAAATCAGATGCAAAACGATTATGACAAGTTACAGAAGATTCAAACAGTTACCGTCCATGTCCCAGTTATTGCCACTTAAACGTTCCAAGGGTCTAATGACTACATTTTTTGAATAACGAGTGACTCAGAAGTCACGTAGAAGGGACTCGTCGGGTGAAAAAGACCCATTTTATTACAATTGTTGACCTTTATTCTGCGAAGTATAAAACCTATCCTTTTTCATGTAAGAGGTGTTGAGTGAGTTACACGCGTCCAAAACCCCGGCCGGCTGGAGCGCTCAAATCGGGCGGTGCACTGAGCGACGGAGACGTCTCATGACTTCATTAAAAATTAATATTTTACCAATTAGTTGATGCCATTAAGCAACAACTTGATACAGCGTTCTTAACAATATTTCCCACAAGATATATATTTTTTCCAATTGATAGTCTCTACACGGCGAGAAATGTTTAGTAAAAATTACGGAACTCACAATTCCCTCAACGATTACGGAATCGACTCGGAAAATTTAAGTGACAGTATCGCAATTTTTCACAGGAGATTCAAATGAAAATTACGGAACGCTCTGGAAAAATTCTGTGACAGTTCCATAAAACTTTTCCTACAACCACATTTAGCTCCGGAATTACGTAAAAGATACGTAATTTTTATTGGATATTTCTCGCCGTGTAAGAATCATTCGAGGCTCTTGAGGATGGCAGTAATTGGACCGGTGGCAATAACTGGGACATTGACTATATAACACTACCGATAGACCATTGATAATTATTTATCATCATGAACTCGAAAATGACACGACACATTTCAATATTCAAATGACAGGCTTTATTTATCCACGCAATAAGTCCTTGGTGTCTGATACCTCTAGTCTCATTCCTGATCTCCAGATCTTCGTTATGAAACAATATTTCCTGGTATCATCGATTAAACCTATTGACTTTCGAATATTGAAGTTGAAACAAAAAATTGGTTTGTTTTTTATTCTTCGAGTGAGAATGAGAAAGGGCTGCAGCACTTTCTACTGGCAGGCGCCCTGGATTGTTGATGGGAGAAAGAAGTTCATTTAATGAAAATGAAAGTCAAGTTTCTAATTTTTTCCAATAAAATGGTACATTTGTATGTTCATTCTTATGTATTATTTCGCAAATATCCTTGAAATGCACAACTCTGCGGAAATCTATTATCAGACATTCTTTGTAAATCTCAAATCTCTCTATAAAAAACGTTTTATGCTGTTGCAAACCCATTTACTACGGAAGTATTTGCTGAACAATAAGCTTTGAACTTATCTTTTTCCACTTCTTCCAGTTGTGCATACATACCGAAGCCGATAAAGTTCAACGCAATTGCCTCGTGTTGAATCAACATAATTCACTGCATTATCGATAAATAACTAGAAGTATTCCCGACCTCAATCCACAGAAAAATAATTTCTAATCTACCACGTATGAGCAATTTCCATGAATTACAAAATTTTTTTTATTGAAACATAAAAAAAATCCAGGGAATTCCAAGGAAAAAGCATAAAGAATTATTATTATTATTATTATTATTATTATTATTATTATTATTATTTACTGAGAATAATTATTCTCAAATGGATAATTGACAGAAAGAAATCTTGTTGTTTTGTAATTTTTTTTTTCTCTTGAATTTTGTGATAAGAAACAAAAAATCTATTATAACGATTTTATTTCTAATAATTTGAACCGGGAAAATGTTGAACTTGAAAAAAAATTATTTTATCTGAATAAAAACGCAAGTAAAAATTACCTCTGACATTCCGTAAATTTTAGCAGTTGTTTTCCGAAGAGCAACATTGGAAATCCAATGAAATTCCAAATGTTTGAGCAACAGCAAGTTTAGAAATTTATGAATTACTTCAATTTTCACTGAAATCATTCAGTACTAAATCATGCGGAATCGTCAATTAATTCAAAAACCCCGGTGGCTTGGCGCAGTGGGTAAGTTCGTTGCCTCTCACGCGAAAGGTTCCGAGTTCAAATCCCGGCCGGTTAGAATGGTGCGATCTAACCATTTTAAAGTCTTAATCATCATCGCAATATACCCTAACCGGGTCGAAGCAAAATCTTGCGCCAAAGAATTTCGTATCAAGAAAACAAGTTCTCAAGACAATTCAAATGGTTTTTGCATTAAAATATTTTACAATTGAGGCTAAAAAATTCGTATATGAATTAATTCAATTTTTCTTGGTTCGAGAAATTGCTTTCTTGTCACCAAAAAGTTGTCCGCGAGTTCAGGACAAGTGAAAAATTTCTTGACAAAAGTTTTGTTTTTCTCGTAAAGACGTACTTCTCAAAAAAACATTGTTTTTCTCGGTGTAGGGTGAACTGCCCCTTAATCTAGTTCATAATGCCCCGGAATTGAGACCAGACAGACTAGACACTGCGGCGCCAGAAAACCCCGCTATGGGCTAATGAACCAGTTGGTTTTCCATGGAATCACTCAATGACTCATCTCACCCGCCACATGTGTATTCACAACGACACGAGTTCCGGGAATGATCCAACATTTTCTGACTAGCATTCGAGACAATTATTATTATCAATAATTATCCGTAATCGCTCGCTGCGCCGTTAGCATCGTTCGGTCTTCAAGGACTGTCACTTTCCTTTACTTGAACTACTGTATCGTGTTTGTCATTCCTGCCAGTTATATTGTACTCGTCACGAAGAATTGAACGATGAATAATTGAGCTAAGAGGAGTGAAACCGCAGTGAGAAGCTATTAACCATGTTTCATCTGGAATTTATTAGTCCTCACACTCGGGGTCTCAGAACAAATAACCCGGAAAATTAGTTATTTTTTAGGCAAATGACGTGGAATAATTAAAAATTCCATTCACTGAGTATGTGACATTTCATCGACCTGTCACACGCAGCGTTCCCCATGGTTTCGGGAATTCTGAAGGCTTTGAAATATCCGGATTCGGATACTTTTTGAATAATACGAGCGTTGAACGTAAGATCGTAATATATTTGTTATTCACGGATTTTGCCTTGCTGATTTTCTTTAGAATTTTTTGTTCTTGATTCGAAGATAGTTCTTACGGAAACTTGAGAATAACAGAAATGGTCTTAGTTAGAGAGAAAAAGTTTCTAATTTTCTGTGAGAATCGCAGAATTCTCTCCTCAGAGAATTTAGCGAGTGAGTATTCCTGGAAGTATGTGAAATTCCGTTTATTTTAAGGTTTCATTTCAAATTGAGACGAATAATGTTCCAATTGTGAGTAATAAAATTAAATAAAATTAATAATCAAGTAAAGTGGAATATAATTGAATAAAATAAGAACAAATGAGCTCTTGAACTAAAAACATTCGAAAGGGAAAAGGCTCAGAATTGTATGAATATTAACTCAACATTGATTGAATTAAGGTATCAGGTGATATACTTTGATGGAATTATAAATTTCAGGGATATGTTGAATGATAATTGGAACATCAGTCGATTAATCTTAAAATAGGTAAAATCGTCAAGGAACGTTAAGGAACGAAAATGTTTTCTGAATTCAAGGACCAAAATTCTCTTGAAATTTCCGAAAACAGAATTTAATTTTCTTTAGTTTTTTTTATTCTGAATTCGATGACGTTTTTTACTGAGAACTTGTGAATAACACAAATGGTATTCTTTCAGATAGAATTTAACAAATAAATAATCCTGAAAATATGTGAATATTCCATTTATTTCAATATTTTATTTTACTTAAAAATTGAACAAACAAAAAGTTTTAATGCACTATTCTTAAAATAATAACAGAAATATTTTTAAAAAAGACAATTTTTTGGATCAAGAACAATTGTCGTCTTGAACTAAAAACATTCAAAAGGGCTCAGAATTAATTGAATATTAATTGAGTATCAGGCGACCCAATTCTATTTCGATAGAATTATAAATTTCATATGTTAAATGATAATTGGAACATGAGTACATCAATTTCATTGGAATTCGGAAAAAAACAAATCATTACGCCCCAACAGCTTTCGAGATATTGCATAAATTTAATTCAATACCCCAGAATTAGAGAAAAAAACATTTTCTTATTTGAATTCGAATAAGATAAATTAACGAGAAATTGCCTTATGATAAGTTTCATGACAGGGAAAGTGCCGACACCTGCCTCTGGAAGATACAATGAACATCACGTCTCGCGGCGCATCAGACGCCACATGAAATTCACATGCTTCAAGAAGCCAGTCTGTCTACTATCGTAAGATCACACCGAGAGCAACTCGTTGCTCAACATTTTATTATGTTTTTTTGCTTCTCTCCCACGCAATGTTAAACGAAGCGCTGTTAATTTGACTATTTATTACCTTCGGGTAAACGTTGAAACGCGATATGATTTTTTATTATTCTAGCCCACAGGAAGTTTTTTATCTCAAGGCTCACAGACACAATTATTTACTCGGAATTTCAAATAAAAATTGTCAAAATGTTTGACGAGCGGCAATTTTAACGGGAATTTGATTAGGATTTATTACTATTATTTCATCATTTCGATTCATTCATCGGGGATTGTGAGGAATGCAATCGATTTCATATGTTGTTTTGGTCTTAATTGGAAAGAGCAGACGTTGAAGTGTGAGGAGTCAGAAATGATTAATTGAATCTTTATTCGAAATGGTTTTCTGCCTAATTATTTCAATAACTGTTATTACTCATTTCAACACTCATTTTCACACTATTGCGGGGAAAGTTTAACTCAAAATAATAAATAAATTTTTATAAGAATAATGGATTTATAATATAATACATTATGAAAATAGAAAATGATCAATAGAATAAACTCCTTTCATTCAACTTTTTCCACTGGAAAAATGTTACAATAACAGAATGTTTACGTGAGACTTGATAATTGATTTCATGTTTTGTTTTTAATTTAAAAGAAACAAAAGTTACAATTCCAAAAAATTATGAATAATTAATTAATGCTTTCTTCGAAGTAATTATCTCCATAATTATTCTAATAATTATTATTACATTACAACATTAATTTTCACGCAATTTTGAAGAATATTAAATACAAACTGACAGAGGAATTCAACACGAATGACCAATTAATGATATAATAAATTATGAGAGTAGAAAAAGATCAATGAACTGAACTTCTTACATTCATTCGGCTTTTTCACTTGAACAAATATCACAAGAAAACGTTATGTGAATTTACTAAGAATTTACAACTATCGTTTCGCTATTTCATTGCGTTTTTAATTGAAAACCCGAACAATTGCAATTTAAAAAACTCATTAATAATCAGTAACCACTCACCTCAGGATTCATTTTCCTCAGTTTTGCAGACTATTCAACTCAAAATAACAGATAAATTTAGCACAAATAAACGATTATTAATCTAATTAATCATAAAAATAGAAAAGAATCAATAGAATAAACTCTTTTCATTCAACTTTTTTATAAAAAGATATCACGACTTGATTATATCGGTCAACCGCGTCCAATAACTTGTTCTGAATTTGATGCCGAACAAGCACTAACTGCCACCGCACATCACCCGGTGGAATTGTTGTCCACCTTAGCCGTTACACCGTCAAAGTAGGGATACAGGTATCTTTCATTTTTCGTCTGCCTCCACCTTTTAACATCTCGGCAGCTCATTCATCGAAATAAAAACATCCCAGTGGGGGAATTTATTCACAATGAAAGTGCGGAATTCATGTGATGATCCGGTTGATGATTTAGGGATCAATTATCACATTATTTCAAAAACAAACACGACTAATCAGTCTGCGGATCTCGGATGTACAATATTTTCAGCCGATTTATATTTCAGGAATGCTATGGTGATGAGCACTATTCACATTTTATGAATTATTCGTTATGTAATGGTTTACTATTACCCTACAACAACGTAGTAAAACGCATAACTGTCGTGTTTATCGTCACCTGCAATCAATGGAAATTGCGAAATCATTTTCAAATAATATACAAAACTGAATTGATTTTGTTCAGATGGACCCATTCAATTCAATAAATTGTTAAAAATAAATTTCTAAGGTTAAAGAACAAATCATTAATTCGAAAAAATGATTAAAATAACAAGAATAATTTTTTCAATGAAAGTAAATTGCAAAAGGATAACAATTGAATTGAAAATTTGAATAGTTCCACTCAGTTCACATAAATTAACAAAATTTAATTTATTTCATTCAAAGAAATCAATATCATTGAATAAATTATCCTAATTATAATATTAAATTAATACCAATCACTGAAAAAAAATTATTACATTGATAAAATAACTAAAATAAATGGGTTTATTATTTTTAAAGAGAAAAAATGCATATCTATAGCAAAACGGTTACATAAAAATAAAATTTAAATAATTTAAGTTAAATGAAACCTGATTCTTTCGGAATCGGCATTTTTTATTTATATTCCCTGTACAATTAATGACATCCACTAAATTCAAAAACAAAAATGACGAAACTCTGGAGTATAAAGTGAGGTATCCACATGTGACGTAATTGCTAAACTCAATCGAAGATGGTAGATTTCATCAGGATGATTAATTTCGCTGGAGTTGTGATCAACTTGTTCACGTGATTGAAGGTCTTCTGCTTTGAATACTTTTACATTGTACTACACTCATGAGGGAATGGTTAACACGAGGGAATGGTTAACACCGGGCAATGGTCGCAACTTAAGTCATGCTTGTATGATCAACGGTGTCAGTGACGATGCTATAAAAGTCGGAGACATTCCAGAAAAGTGGTGATCACTTCCACGTATCTTTATATCGATTGCATAAGTTATTTATAATTTATTCTCATTCCATTCCCTATGAAATTCAAATAAGAGATCAATTTGGATTTTCAAGGTTGGACATTTGAATTCAATTAACAATTAAATCGTTTATGAAATTCTTTATTTCACAAAAATTACTTCACTAAAATAATTATTTGAATTATTAATATTCAAGTGATTGCTTACATTTTTAAACTTATTGCGAAAGTTGATAATTACGTTTAATTGAATATTCGATAGAGTGGGAATAGCGAATAATAATTGCCGGAAGATTTGATTTTCAGGAACATAAGTAATTTTCGGAAATCTATCCAAAATTTTTAGAAATTCACGATTATGAAATTCAACGCATGCAAAAATCTGGAATTTAGCGATTTTTTCACTAATTTTGCTTCCGAACGGAGAACTCCGAAAATTCCGAAAATACGTATGTAACAAAATTTTTCTTCAATTTTTCGCTAACGAATGGATGGAATTGAATCATTCCTTTTCAAATGTTCATTAATTAAAATTTAATTCATCGAGTAGTTTTTTAAATTTGAATTGATTGTATGAAGGCTTAAAAAAATTGTTGGGAGGTCCTTTTGATCGCGTTCGAAGATGAAGACGACCGCAGTAATCGTTAATTTAATTAATTTGAAAATTTGCAAAAATTTTATATTTTTTTGAAAATCAGAAATCCGGGGTTTTCTTTGAATATCGTGCTTCAAATGAATTCAATCATAGCTTGAAATGTTTGTTTTAACGCCATTAAGTCGAAGTTAAAAGATGTTTACGATAGCTATATTGGTTGATTCGATGTTTACGACGATTGTTGAAAGTTTCGAATTTTTCATGAATTTCAATAGATAGACCCATTTGTTCAATTCTCCTGACTTTTATTTAAATCCCGTGACTTTTATCGTCTTCGTGTTGATCCCATTCATGTAGGAATGCAGCGTTCAACGATAGCATTGTCAATTCGTGGTGATAATGTTGCTGGTGAGCGTGGCCCAACGGATGATTGTCACGTACTCCAGTAAAACCTGAAACTAATAACAAAATTTTCGTATTCAGGAAGGGAATATGAATGCACTGATCAACGTCCGGAAAATACATTTCTGAAACATTTATTTTTCCTCTCGTAACCAATAATTCCACACACGCACCGATCGCTCAGTCACTTAATCCTCGAGGTTTCATTTAGTAATAGGGGCTGTAAAATGAAGGCTAAGATAAGAGGATCGCTGCACAGAGAATTACGAGTCGAGACGAGAATAACAAATTGTCATGCAACAAAATAAGATCAAGTCTGTTCAAACACAGAGAAATAAAAATTTTTGATTGTCAGGGACGTGTCACTGATTTCCGGAAATTCAGTGACTTCGTTTGTGATTAATTTTCAGTGGGATCGTCACTTATTTGCAGGGACATTGTCACTAGATTTCAGAGTAATGTCATTGATTTTCAGGAACTCATCTCTTATTTTTGGGAATCGATCACCAAACGTCAGTCATTAACCCTAGTTTGCCCGTATTATGAGAACTTGCGGCTTGGTCACCAACGCGGGGATTCCGCGCCGCGTTATTTAGGTTCAAGCATTGCCGAATCCACTCTACACGGCCCGCGCGTGGTTAGCGAGTTTCCGGCAACGTCGCAGGACGGGCAATTTCACGCACATGTACAATTGCGTCGGTACGCTATTAAAAAAATGAAATTCTATGACCATCTCAGTCGTAATTTTTAAGAGATGGCTTTGATTAATTTTTGTAATTGTAAATTTGTTTTGTTGATGTGATTTTTAAGAGATGGATTTAACATCGTTAAATTTTAAATTGAATTGATAATTGAATGAAATTCAAAATTTTGGAGCAGCAGGAGCACGAGAATTTCTTAAATGTAGCTTACAAATCCACTCGTTAACAATTATTAGGTGTACAAATTAATAAGGTGCTTTTTTTAATGAAAATCAGAGTTTATTATAAAAAAACAAAAAGACATTAAACGGTCGAAATATTCCCCATTATTTTCGATGACTTTACTCCACCTCACTGGCAACTGACGAATTCCTTCGCAAAAGAAACTTGGCGGTTTTGACTCAATAAATTCATCGATGCTTTTTCGGACCTCGTCGATTGTTTTGAAGTATTCATCAGCTAAGTGGTGTTGAAGAGACCGAAATACGTGGTAGACGGATGGGGCGAGATCAGGCGTGTGAGGGAGAACCTCCTATCCTAATCCACAGATAATATCCTTAGTCGCTTTGACGACATGTTGGAGAATCACGTGTCTACTTCCGCTGCCAGTATATGGCCTCTATTGCTTCAATGCATCATTCAAATGAATAAGCTGTTGTTGATAAACCTTCGCAGTAACAATTTGGCCAGGTTTAAGTAGCTCATAATATATCACACCCTTCATATCCCACCAGATACTCAGCATCACTTTTCTCGCATAGACATTGGGTTTCGGAGTCGACGTCGATGGTTCGCCGGGATTCACCCACGATTTTTTGCGTTTAGGGTTGTCGTATAACACCCACTTTTCATCGCCCGTAATGATTTTGTATAAGAAATCTTTTCTTTTAAATCGAGTGAACAGAGATAGCGCCGTCTCCACTTGTCGCTCCTTATTTTCGGGGCTCAGATCATGAGGAACCCATCTACCCTCCTTTTGAATTTTGCCAAGTTGATGTAGGCGATGAGAAATGCATTGTTGAGTCACTCCGAGTTGTAGTGCAAGCTCTGTTTGGCTTTGAGCAAAATTTTCAGCCAAGAGTTGTTCGAGTTCTTCATCGCCGAATTTTTACGGTTGACCCGACCATTCTCGATTCGAAAGATCGAAATCTCCGTCTCTAAACCTCTGGTACCACTTTTTACACGTTTTATGTGTTACAGCGTTTTTTCCAAGAGCACTACAAATCATTTGAGTAGCCTCGGCAGCATTTTTCTTCAATTGAAATGCAAAAAGAATGCAGTGCCTCAAATGTTGCTTATCGACGGACATCGTGTTTACTACTATTTTTTAGTAGGTAGTTATGTAGGAAGTATTTACTGCTTCGGTAACTGAATACTACCAACATACAAAATATTGAAATAATAGGTTTTTGAACGCAATTATAAACCGCGAAATATAGGGGCACCTTATTAATTTGTACATCTAATACAACTAATTGTAACTTCAAGAATACATTCACCCGAATTTAATTCTCCCTGATATTTTCATCAAATTGTGAATTTTCAATGGCGAAAATTCCTGATATTTGGATGAATGTATTTTTCAATTACAGCGCATTTGCACTTTTTACAATTTAGTTTCTCACTCCAATTTTGTGCATAAATATTATTTCAGAGCCCGAATGACCAGAATACTTGAATGCAAACAGAATTCTGTTTGCATTCCTTGAAATTTCAGCCAAAAATTGTTCACAATGTCATAAGGATGACCTCAAAAACAATAACAACCGTCGAAATGATCACAGAATATTCAAATGCAGGACAATGTTGTGTCGCAATTTCTAAAAACGTAGAAACACCTGGCGATAATTATTAGGAGCCTGAGAGCTACGCAAATCGGTGGATAATTGGCACCGTCTGATCACGCGAGCGAGGATACCAAGGTAGCTGACCCATTGAGAGAAAAAAAAGAACATTTATGAAGGAATATCAGTCTATCAGAGTCATCATCTAAACATAAAAATGGAGAGAATGTTAACTGAGTCAGAATTGCACGTGAT